AAGTGCTGGAGCAGCTGCAGCTCAGGTGGGTGTCCCACGAAGCTCCGTGAGGGTGACCCCGCAGCCGGGGTGGTGCAGGTGAGGACTCAGGTGAGGCCTGCGCGCATGCACCTGCCAGCTGCAGCCTCTAGAGCTGCTCACACGGGGGCGCGGACAGAGCTGCTGGTAGCAGCAGCGCTGGGTGCCACCCAGGGGTGGCTGCCTGTGACAGTCAGATGCAAGGGCCAGCCAGAGGGAAGAGCTACGGGTCACATAAGGCACAGAAGATAGGTCCCTGGGTGGTAAGACACAGGGGCCAGCCAAAGGGAGGAGCTACAATTCACTCGCAGGAGGACAGGTCCCAGGTGACAGTCAGCCACAGGGGCCAGCCAGAGGGAGGAGCTATGGGTCACACGGGGCACAGAGGACAGGTCCCAGGTGATAAGACACAGGTGCCAGCCAGAAGAAGGAGCTACAATTCACTCGCATGAGAACAGGTCCCAGGTGACAGTCAGCCACAGGGGCCAGCCGAGTGGCAGTCAGCTCCACATTCATACGTTTGAAGGAGGAGTTTTTCAAGGGTGGCAGGCCGCGGTGAGCACGCGGAGGGCAGAGGAATCACCAGGGGGGTGGGCCCAGGGTGGGTGCAGGTGGTGGGGTGCTGCAGCAACCACGGGGCCTCGGGGACACCGTGGGCATACTGAGCAGTGTCAGGGTGTCCAGAGTGGGGGCACAGGGTCCCCACACGCAGGCAGGAACTGAAGGGAACTGACCAGCTCACGGGACGCCTCTCAGAACACAGGGCCCTAGGAGGCCACAAGGAAGCAGTTCCAGGAACAACGAACAGATGAATCGAGTGCCCAGGTCAGTTAACCTTGTACAGGCCTGTGCGGCTCGCGAGGGCGTGGCCGAGTGACATGCAGACAGGCAGGGTGGCGGCGGGGAGGCAGGGACAGCCTGCGGGGGTGCAGGGCGCAGGCCACACCTGAGTGGATACCCGCAGTGGACGGGCGGGGACGGGCGGGGAGACCGGGGAGCCGTGAGGGAGGTGAGCATCTTCCCAAGGTCAGCCCGCTGGCCAGAGCAAAAGCCAAGGACCGAGGGACAGTGGGATGATGAGGGGCGGCCCTGGGGGGCGGGGCAGGCCCGGGACCCCGTCCCTCCTCCGCGCACCTCACGCCCTTGGACATGGGCCCGACGCAGGACGACGCCGCTGGTGCTGACGGCCCAGCTGCACTCCAGGGGTACACTGTCAGCAGCATAACTGCCACCCACAGCCACCCAGAACCGCCACGGTCACTGAGTCCACCAGCCTGCCCCTCTCCCCGCCCTCACTGCTGAGAGGCGGCCCTGTCCCCCGGCCGTCCGTCCATCATACTTGCCACCTCCCTTACCGCCTCCTCCTGGCTCCAACCCCAGAACCTAAGACCCCTTCTCCTCTAGGGCCAGCGTGGCAGCTCCTGCCCTGGCCCTGCACACACCGTGGGGCCACACTGTGTCCCCCAGACACTCAAGACTGCTGCGTGGCTGCCGGGCCACCCTCTGGCCCCAGGTCCCCTGCCCAGCTGCTGCTAGACATACTGGTCTCCTCTGTCCTGCCACACCGGTATCCCGGACCTCTGCGGGGCTGGCTGCAGAAGCCTCGCCCCACCCCCACCCCCCAGCCATGCGGAAGGGCCCGTGTTGGATCCCCGAGGGGCGCTGAGGTCACCTACCCTTCCCCGAACGTCAAGGGGGACTCCCGGGACAGGGGCTGTGGCCGAGGGCAGATCTGGGGTCCGGGGTGGGAGACGGGGTCCATCCCTGAACGAAGTATGCAGGGTGGCCCAGGAGTGTCTGGAATGTCTGGAGCTGCTGTGTGCACCCCTCAAATGCGCCCTGGTCACCTCCAGGCTCGGGGAGGAGCAGGCTGTAGATGAAATGCGTAAATTCCGCAGAGAGCTCGCGGGGCACCGTGAGGTGAACAGGAGGACCTCGCCCCGGGACTCGACCAGGTTTGTGTTTGTTTTGCTGTTATTTATAAAAATGCAGAGAGCAAGGTGTTTTCGAGAATCCTGATTCAGAACAACAGAACATTCTGAGGCTGGGAAGCCGACGCCTGATGCCCGGGCAGTTTGCGGCCCCCCCCTCGGCCTGGTCCAGGCAGGAAGCATCCCGCAGAGCCACGAGGGGAGAGTCAAGTCTCCTGGGGTCACTTTCTCCTGACACGGTGACAGAAAAGACGTGTCTAATTTTATCTTTTTTTAAAGAAAGATAGGAAAAGAACAGTGAGTCTCACAGGAGTCCCCTCAGCTGGCACGAACAGCCGCTCGCCTCAGGAAACCGCCGAGGCCCCGTGGGGCCGGCGGGAGGCCTCGTCCCCCTGCTGCCAGTCCCC